TAAAAAGATTTATTTCTATGATATAAATTTGATATTAATTATAAGAATTTAAATTAAATACATTTATACCTCGTCGCACATTTATAGATTCGATTTAATAATTGTGATTCCAATTTGACGCCCAACATATTTTCTATAGTGTCACATAAAGAAAATAGATTAACACTTATTATAATATCTGAGTACATAAACTGTATTTACATAGAGAGTTGCCAATTATCCAGTTTTTGAATTAAACTAAACTTTTTTAAAATTTTATTCAATATTTAGTTAAAAAATTTAATCAATTTTCACATTTTCGATTTTATAAAAAACATAAAAGTTAACTTTAAAAACAATTACAATAAATTATTCTACTTTTGTTGGCACAATTTTTATGTTTATGAATTGAGATAGATCAATTTTCTTTATTTTTCAGTAATATTACCAATATTGTTTCGTAATCTAAATATCATTGGAATAAAATAATATGTTTCTCGCACTTAAGTCTGCGTTATGTACATTTAAAATATTCGTCAACTAATTTACATTAAATCATAATTAACATTTTTATTTGATTTAATCTATCTGTATTTTGTTACGAAAGGGGATATGTAAAATGATCTAGTCTAGTCTTCTGGAGTTGACAACTCTTAATGTATATTCCAGGTAGCACATGTTTATTTCATATACGTTTCCTAAACGTATCCAATGTATTCATATGCGTTTAAGAGGATGCTGGAGTGCCTGACGAACTCCGACGCGAAAGCGCCATCATTTCGATGGAACTAAAAATGAGAGCGATATTATCGGCATAAATCATAATCTAAGTATGAACGTATTGTGTATGCGTATGTGTGGTGCGTGTATATATTCGCATATTATTGTATAGCGCCTCTCTGATATTATCTTGGAACTAATCTTCTGTTATTTTTCATCTGTTATACCGATATTGGACGCACACGTATGTAAAAATAGTCGGACAAGAATATTTTTACATTAGACTTTTCAGCCCAATTTTAATGGTTCCATAACATTCTATTCTGCAATCCGCAATTCGCGCTGCTCTTATTCGGTGTATTAAAATCGTTAAACTTTTATAAAAAGCTAAAATTGATAGCTCTAAAAGACATGTTATCCTAAGAGTATGTCAATAAAAATTAATGTTATAAATAACTTTATTTTTCCGAATTTTTTCGACCAACGCGAATTCCCTTTTTGTGTGCTCTTTAATCCTGCAAAAGGATTTTTAATTCTATGCAGGCAGAAAAAAGCTGTATTTGTTAGAAAAAAGTCAGGAAAAATACAGCATTCATGTGGTAAAACAGAACTCCAGCATCCTCTTAAGAAACGTATATAAAACTAACATGAGCTACCTGCGATTTTATTGTAATGTAATTTAAAAAAATAATATTTCTGAATTTATGAAAATAAAATGGATAATTTGCGTTTATTTTACTTTTATTTCATCCGTATTGCTTTATTTTTTTTCATGTTGATTTACCATTTAAAACGTAAACAGATATTTTATGGAATATAGTATTTCAGACAGCACACATGTTTAAAATCCATCCAAAGGATATCCAGAGGACGTCCTATCGTCCCAAAAACGTCTTCAGGATATTCTGTGGAGTCTTTTGAATATGCTGCGCTGTCTGGGATTAATTCTACTATTAAGAGGATGCTGGAGTTCTGTTTTACCACATGAATGCTGTATTTTTCCTGACTTTTTTCTAACAAATACAGCTTTTTTCTGCCTGCATAGAATTAAAAATCCTTTTGCAAGATTAAAGAGCACATAAAAAGGGAATTCGCGTTGGTCGAAAAAATTCGGAAAAATAAAGTTATTTATAACATTAATTTTTATTGACATACTCTTAGGATAACATGTCTTTTAGAGCTATCAATTTTAGCTTTTATAAAAGTTTAACAATTTTAATACACCGAATAAGAGCAGCGCGAATTGCGGACTGCAGAATAGAATGTTATGGAACCATTAAAATTGGGCTGAAAAGTCTAATGTAAAAAATATTCTTGTCCGACTATTTTTACATACGTGTGCGTCCAATATCGGTATAACAGATGAAAAAATAACAGAAGATTAGTTCCAGGATAATATCAGAGAGGCGCTATACAATAATATGCAAATATATACACGCACCACACATACGCATACACAATACATTCATACTTAGATTATGACTTATGCCGATAATATCACTCTCATTTTTAGTTCCATCGAAATGATGGCGCTTTCGCGTCGGAGTTCGTCAGGCACTCCAGCATCCTCTTAAAATGTTTCAAAAAGTGATAACTCAAACACATACAAAAGTGTAAAATAATAGTTTTAAAATTTGCTGTAAATTTGTGGTTATAAACAGTTGAAATATATATATATCAATATATATAATATCAATATACATATATATCTCATTCTGTTAACTTGTTAAAAATAAATTTACAAATTATATACTTTAAATCCTTATTTTAGTACTACATTTTAAATATCACAACAGAAAATAAAAGGCGAAAGAGCCAATGTTGGTTGATCGTACATGTATTTAACTTCCCTTAGAAAAATTTACTTTTTAAAACTTAAAAAAAATAACTTAAGAAAACTTTTATTTACTATAAAACTTTTTAAAAGTTTTGAAGAGTAAATTTGAACATTTTAAAATAGGATTTACTCTTCAAAAACTTTTAAAAATTTCTTTAAGAAATGAAAAAGTGTTCTTAAATTATTTTTTTTTAAGTTTTATATAGTAAATTTTTCTAATATTAATATTAGTAAATACAAATGTGTAACACAGAAGTAATAAACAAGGAAAAAGAATTTGCAATTAATCTGCAGGTTAACCATGGACCACAAAATTTTATCAAATTTTACTGAACTGACCTTTGAATTCTATCTCTTCCATCACCGAGTTCACTTTTTGTATACTATGGACACTTCTTTTAAATAAATAACGGCTAATCTACCGGTCCACTGCAACCTCTATAACATGATTCACAACAAGTCCAATACACCACACTTTTGCTTAACTCTTATGCATTTGCGGTTTTTTTCAATATTGTACTTTTAAAAAGATGCGTACGTTTTAATTTTATTAATAATGGATTAGCGATTTGTAATATTGAAGAAAGACTTATTTAGGCAGAAACGCTTGTTATCATAATATACAAGGTGTTCCAAAGTTCGCGGCCCAACCGTCGTGTACAGATAGAGCGGGTCAAACTGAATAAGTAAGTCCTTTACCACTTTGCGAAATTTTCAATAATTAATTAGAAAATAATTAATAAAGATCCGCCAATCCGCGCAAGTATTCCCCGAGCGCCGAGCGCGCGGTGAGTAGGACCCACCCAGCATAGCATAATACAAAGCGCGGCAGAGCGGTGGGAGGGACGCTCTCTTGGCTAGCTATGCACACTACACACGAGCGGCGCGTGACATAGAAATTCACGCCGCTCTGCCGCGCTTTGTATTATGCTATGCTGGGTGGGTCCTAGGGCGGTATTCATAGTCCGTTCTTATATTCAAAATTGTCTTAAGCACGGACTTATATTCGCTCTCTTCGTCACACATAGATTGTGTCTGACGAAGAGAGCGAATATAAGTTCGTGCTTAAGACGATCTTGAATATAAGAACGGACTATGAATACCGCCCCTACTCGCCGCGCGCTCGGCGCTCGGAGAATACTTGCGCGGATTGGCGGATCTTTATTAATTATTTTCTAATTAATTATTGAAAATTTTGCAAAGTGGTAAAGGACTTACTTATTCAGTTTGACCCGCTCTATCTGTACACGACGGTTGGGCTGCAAACTTTGGGACACCCTGTATAAATCAAATACATGTACACTAATCAACATTGACTCTTTCGTTTTGTTTTGTGATTTATAAGAGCCTTGAGATTTCAAATTTTTAATCAACTACATTTTAATATTTTATATATTTTTAATATATTATATAATTTAGAAATGTATAACTTTTTATAATGTTTTTGTAATATATACAATTAAAACAACTTAAAATTAACACTCTAAATAATGTACGTTTAAAGTCTGTAGTTACGTAATTGTAAATTACGGGAAATTTCAAAATTTTTATTTTAATTTATTTTTAGAAAATTTTAAAAATGTTTACAAAAATATACAAAAATTGTATTTTTTACCAAATAATTCTTACCTTAAAATTGTTTTTTAATACCTAAAAGTAGACATTTTACAAGATAGTAGAGTTACTTATTCTTACCACTTGCAATGTTCAAATTACATGTATATAGAAAGTCAAGAAGAATAATTTCATTTCCATTTTCTTCAACTTCTTCTAATTCGTCCATAAGTGCTAATGATTGTTTTACAAATATATTAAATTCGCCTTGTAAGTTGTTTGGAGTAAAAAATCTTTCCACTATTTTTCGATGTGAGCTCCATAAAGATACTGAAATAAATATACACAAAAGAATAATTTAAAAAAAGTTATTGATCCATTATATAATATTAACCACTTCTCTGTGATATTTCAAGGTAAATATAATAATACTGTTCGAATATATTCGGGTAAATCAGGGAAGTGGGTATGAAAATAATAAAGATAGGACAGAAAAAATCAAATTCCACAAGAGAT